GGGTCTCGCTTTCCCGCCCGTGCCCCTTGCCCCGGCCCCTGACAGGATTTCCCCCCACCGCGGCTTTGAGGAGCATCTCGGGTCGGGGGCGCACGTAGGTGACCGGCGGCACCCCGAGGCCGAGGGGCCGGTCAGGCGGGTTCCCCCCTCTCCCGAAGGGAGGCTGGAGGAGGAGATTTTAATACAACGGGTTTCGTTGTGTTGGGTCTGTTGCGGGGGCTCGCCTGCCGTCCCGTGAGGAGAGCCGGTGGGGTTGTTGGGGAATGGCGGCTTTAGTCGGGGACGAGGTAGTAAATGCTGAAATCACAGCTGGAAAACGCAAGCGTCTTAAACTCTGACTCCATCTTAATTTTTAGCATACTGAAAACGTGGAGGTATTTAATTTGGCCGTCATCTTATGTTGATGTACTGCAGCAAAAATAGGTAAAATTCATAGCCCTTCTCCACAAAGCTAGATCTGTTCCAGAAATAGTTGTGATTCCTCATTTATTTGTTTATTTGGCTTGCTTTCTTAAGCACCGAAATAGGGGGAATGTGGAAAAGAGAGGTCTTAAGATACAGTCAGAAAACAAGTCCTGCTTTTTAATTGCCAGCTGGTCCTTAAAACTGGTTTCAGACTTCAGTGGCTTAGACAGCTGTACAGATTCTGGGTTTGGTCTGTGTATTCTTAATATAACTTCTGCTTTCCTTCACCAATGTTACTTTTTGGGTTTCAGTTCACAGAAATGATGTCTCTTGATATATCTGACGGTGCTCAAATCTATGCTGCTTTTGTGGTATACCTGGACCTCTTAGAAGGTAATTCAATGAAGTGACTGAGTAGACATCCCAGCAAATGTATTTGCCTTTAGGTGCTATTAAAGTTTGTGCTAGCAAGACCTTTCCTACAAAAATCCTTGGCGTTGTTTTTGAAACATAATGCAGTGATGGTTACCTAAGAAGCAGATGGTATTTTGGTGCTGAAGATTTCTATCCTGTGCCTACCTGGCGCCTTTACGAAGATGAGGGCCCATTTTGTCTAGCAGTTACGGGTGCAGGTGTTCCAGGGCAAAGACACTTGGCATGGAAAAAAAGAAAAAGAGGAGTAGGGGAATGAAAAGGAGCATAGAAAGGTGAAGTTACAAGTTCAATTGGTTGTGCTGGTAGTAGAGTCCTCATTTGTAAATTAATGTCAAAGTTACTGATTACCATTAGCAAATGGCTGATGTGTGCTGGCCTGATTAGGATACTGTTTTTTGTCAAGGGCAGGATTGCTGTAGGAGAGAAGATAACTTGTAAGTCTGGTGGCAATAATTATGACAAATGCAGTGTAGTCTTTCGCTGTCTTGTAAGAGTGGAGCAGAGTTATGGGATATATAAACTTCTGCCTGTGGTTCTCCCACGTTGGCTTTGTTGAAAAGGGACTGTGTGTAGGCAGGCAGCCAGCCTAATAAAAATACTTCAGTTTCTCTTGGAGGCTGGTGGTTCTCAAGATCAGGGAAGGGAGGGATTTTACAGGCCAGAAAGCACCATGTCTGTTATTGTTACACCTCTGAAGAAAATGCCTTGATAGGCTTTAAGAGAAGGCCCCTGTAGTTCTGCAGCAGAAACTTTTAGCTTTATCCCTTCAAGCAGAAGGGAAGAACTTTATGTTATCAATAATCAAGGTTTTAGCACCTGCTTCTTCACAGTTTAGGGTGCTGATAAAGTTCAAATTTGGATTACCCTTTTATGCTGCAGGTGACAGAGATGGTTTTTGTCATCTTCTTGCCTTTTTGAAACAAAGCTTTGTCAGGCAGATCCCTATTCACCATCAATCAGTGTAGCTCTGGAGTCAGCAGCCTAGTACTGCTCCTGTGGGTTTCTTTAACAGGATTGTTTCTCAGAAGGGGAGCTTGACAGTTGAATGGGGTAGTTGTCTCTCATGGGAAATCTCCTGTGAGGAGAGGGAGAAAAAACAGAACCTTAGATGTTAACTTATATACCAAATTTGATATCTGAATGATTAAAACTTCTGGTTTGTGTTCTGGTCCTTATCATTGATGATGAATCTTTCTAGGGAGAAACTGGCATGAAGTGAAGCACGTCGGAGTAGCAGAACTGCAACTTGTATGTTTACATGCACGTGAAAGAGAACAGGACAGTCTCCAAGTGATGGTGCCAGTACCTGTGCACATATCTTTAAGCCACGAGAGGTGAGGATGTGGTCAGTGTTTGGCCCGTGTCACCAATAAGATAGAATGAAGAACAGATATATTTAACAGGCTGCTGATGCCTTGGTCAAGAGGGGAAGGGGGAGGAAACAAAGGAGTATCAGAGGAAAGCAATATCTCAGCCTGTGAGCAGAGTTATTTTGGGTGCTGCAAATGTACATGCAAAGTTGAGATTCCTTTAATTTTCTAAGCTGCGTCAGCCTCTGCTTCTCCCTCTCTGAAAGTGGTAGGCCTTTGTCAGCTTCCCACAACAGCTGACGCCTCCTGCTGATAAACACTTCATATTGTTTAGAAGTTGCTTATGCTCTAGGAGATAACAATTGTTATCAAAGTATATGTTTGAGAGACAAGTTTAGAATACAAGACCTTCACAGCTTATGTTTTGAACATTCTTGTGCTGCTTTTTTGTAGTCTGGGAAATCTAGCAATAGATTTGTGTCACTGGGCTTTAAAGTACCTAAGGGGGAAGAAAGCCCCTCAGACCTGTCTAAGAATAAACTTTTTTTTTCATTGTCAACTCTATGGATAAGCCTGGTGTGTTTGGTTTCATTTCCTCTTTGTTTTGAAAGTATAATTTGGCTACTTTCAACCAGAAATTCCTCTTGCTTATCTGGAGTCTAATGTCTAACTGTCCCTTGAGCTGTGATTTTTTACTTACTTGCCTTACACATGCAAGACTAAGTAATTCTCAAGCGGAGGACAACACAGCTATGACTTGGTGATAATACAGATATTTACAGCCTAGAGAAATTCCACTTCAGTGATTTTACAGTATATTTTAACTGGCCCCTAGAGCAGCCTCAAACACACAGTATTATTTACTCTCTGATGATGTCTGCCTTCTCTTGCTGGTATTTGCCATTCTTTCCTGTGATGTATCTGAAGACCTGAACTATTTCAGCTGCATTATATGGTAGTACATTTTTTCCGTTTCTTCTGTTCCTACTCTTGCTAGGAGTGTGTGCTCAGGGCTAGCTTTACAGATCTTGCTGCTGTTTGCTGTTTCCTCTTGCTCTGCAGGCAGCAGCCTGACACAGTAGCAGGTAGCTGATGAATTGCACTTAGCAGACGTGTGTGTGCGCGCGATCTAGGAATGATGTTTTAGGCATGCTAGGGGTTTTGCCTTTTTTGTTGTGTTTTGTTTTGTTTTAGAAGTGACAGATCAGTCTTCTGCAAACAGACTTCCATCTTGATTCTGCTATGTGTTTTCCTAAGAGCATATTTGTGAGGGGGAAGAAAATGACTTACTAGATATTGATGGATTTGAGTACTATCTACGTGCTGAAAAGATCTTCCATTTGCAAATATTGGCCAATCACTCTTGTGGGCTTGGTCATACAGAGAAGTAGGGTGTGATCTCCACAACAGAGGAAAGCTGCAGAGAGGTCTTGCAGGATGAAATGCTGAGTGTCATTCAGCCTCTCTGCAAGAAGCAGATCGCTGTATGTGTGTGAAAGGGACACACTGCTATTCACAGGTTCAAATAGATTTTAGGTGGGCAAAGAAGGCAGCAAATTAGGATATGGGATCTTTAAGAAATTGTGCCTATGTGTTGAGGAGTTGTGCTTGTTTAATGTAGTAGGTTTCCACCTATGTGGGAAACTTTGATTCCTGACATTGGATCAATGCCAGCAAGTATGTTCTAATTGGCTTTTAATGACGGTGAGATATTGCACTGCATGTATGTCCTATCTTTTACTGTTTCATTGGAGCTTTTCACTTGGAGCCTCTGAACTTGTTTGTACTGTGGTGATACTGTTTGCTCTGCTTCTGGCACCAGTGTGGATGGAATCCATTACTGGAAGGGTGTGTGTTAGAGAAGCAAAAAGTGAATGCATCACATTGATTAAAAGTACAGTTTGTGACTGGGTTTTGCTACAGAGCAACTACATAGAGCGTATTGTCACTAAAATGAGCTGAATACTGGGCTGTAATGCTGGATGAGTCCATTAAAGCCTATATGTGCTTGATACCCATAGATGTTGTCAGGCAGGAAGATCGTATGTGCTTGTATTTTGTTATTGAGTGTGTATGTGCATATACATGCTTGGCGTTTCATTGGCAGGTCACCACTGATCGGAGGGGCCTGGTCAGTCTTCGTAGAGAAAGGACAGCATCAACTCCTTGGCTCCTTTGTTGGAACAGTAGGCAAAAAACAGGGGGTATAGACAATAACTGTAGCTCAAAGTTACGGAGCACAGAGGGAGGCCATTAAAAAGGCATCCTACAGAAGGAGCTGGAAAGTGTATTGCAGTACTACTGCCTCTTTGTTCTGTCAGTGATGAATATTTTGTTGTGATTGTTGATAGTAAGAGGCTTGTTAGGTATGTGATCTCTTAAATTATGTTTTCTCACTTGACTTACCAAGCTGTAGGTAGACAGGAAAGCTTTTGTACTTAGCTACTTTGCTGTTTTGTTCAAAGCAATGCTTTGGGTTTTTGCATTACCTGCTGAAGGTAGAGGAAGAGGTATGAGTACAAGTAAATGCAGTTCAGTGTTGAAAGTAAGCCATTGGAGGGGGTTGGGAAGGTGAAAAAGTTCTGTCCTCATTGCTGGGCCTGGAAATGTGCTAACTGCAAAAGCAACTAGCAAATGGCAGCGTTTATGGACAGCATTTCCTTGCTTAACCAGTAAGGCCTGGGTAAGGGCTGCAGAGGTGGTTTTCTTCTCAAAGCCACTTCAGCCAAGCTCTGCCTTCCCAGGTGTCTCATGAAGATTCCTGCTTGGCTGACACTGAGAGGACTGTGTCCTTAAAAGGCTGTAGTAAAGTTGCTGTGGAAATTACCAGCAAGACACCTAAGCAAATGATAAATCTGAGTGCCCTACAAAAAAAAAAATCCACTCAATGTTTTTTTGCCTATTATAAGATTTCATCATGTCCAGTTTATGCATGACAGTTAACAGCTTAAGGCAAACGCTGTTCTGCTTGCTAAGCTTACTGTCCACTTCTACAAACAGCTTGATGGAAGCTGATCATCCTGCCCTGCCAGTGTAAGGCTGCACAGTAACTCACTGAATCGCAAAATTACAGGGTCTGGAGCAAAGTGACTACCAACGCAAACGGTAGTCTCATACAATCTGAGAAGTGGCTTTATGCTGTGCATGCATGCTCTTAAAATGAAGATTGCTGGATCTTCTGAGAGTGAAGACCTGGAGAATAAGATGCAACTTATGCCTGTCTTGGACCACTCTCTCAACCACACACAGCTGGCTAAGGTTTGGAGAACCTTGTGTTTGTATGCCTTTGAATTTAGCAGTGGTTCATGCTTGCAGGAGGAATTCATAGATCCATTGGCTGGGACGTGTTTGCCGTTCACTACTGCAGACAACACCTTCGTGCACACCAAGTACCTAATTGTCAGCATATTCCAGAATTGTGGCTCCCCAGAGAGGGTGAAGCAGTTAAATACAGGTAATCATGCTTCAGAGCTGGCAGAAATGACTAGCATAAACCAAGCTCAGCAAGTGTGGGAGAGCTCACAGTGTTGACAGCTGGATTTTCTAGATAGTGTTGAAAGCCTTGATCCTTCCAAGGACCAGGGAGTTAGATGCTGGATCTAATGGAATTACATGCTGTCTGTCCTAGACAAATAACATTGTCTGAGCAAAATGTTACTAATAGACTGTCAGATTAAATGATATGTCACTGCCCTGTTTGTTTTTTGTGTGCAAGTGTTGGAAATGAAGTCAGTTGCATGAGGTTATGGAGACTGCAAAGTTTGGTTTAGGCTAAGAGGGGAAGGGTTATTTTGTTAAAACGGTAACTTAATTTTGGAAAAAGAATACATAAATATTTCATTTTAAAGCTGATAAGCATCCTTAGAAGCAAATCTGAGGACTGGAAGCAATTTATCCTCTTCTAAATCTGTAATTTGTGAAATAGATCTTCCTCTAATCTGAAGTGGTTTTGCTTATAAGAAGCACTGCTATTTTAAATGCACTGGAAGTGTGACATGCTCCTTATCTTGCATCCTCTTCACAGTTTTGTCAGTAGCTCTTCTGCTATAAGCATTATTTCAGTTTACTCATACAGTAAATCACACATTGAAAATGTAACTAATGGCTTCTAGATGCAAACTCTTTATTAGTAGTTTAAAAGTGATTGATGCGGCTCATACGGCTGAGTTGGTTGTGCAGTACTATGATTGAATGTCTTATAGTTGGTGTATCTTGTAGAACTTTGCTGAATTCTGATTCCTCCCTCTTGCATGATTTGTCTTGTTTCCTTTTTCAACTTCCACGGAAAAAATGACTTTATATTCCTTGGGGTTTCAATTCCTTTTCCTGACCAGTAAGCCATGTGGTGTTTTCTTTGTGGTTTGGTTGTTTGGGGTTTTTTTGGGTTTTTTTTTGTTTTTTTTTCCATTACAAAACCATGAGTTTCCTCTAGCATCCCATGTTCCTGTAGTTTGGAGACAAATCCCAAGAAATAGCGGTGTCCATTCACACCTTCTCCCACCACCACCACATTCTTCTTCCCATATATTTCAAGGCACTAGGTTAATCTAGCTGCAGGGCAGGCAGCAATGTCTGGAGCAGCATTCCTGATGGTGAGCCATGCTGCCCTGTTTTCGTAGTGCTGGCTAAATTAAAGGTATTGTGCTTTAGAGGAGTTTTCCTCTGCCTTGGTTCTCTTGTCATGGGGCCTATCTGAACAAGTCTGGTACAATGGTGCGCTCCAATGCACAGAGTAATGATCTCTGTGTAGCGGTACAGAGACCAACTTGTGTTGACTCTCCAGCCCTGCCTTGCATGGAGGCGAGGGAGCTGTTTGGGCTGGCCAAGCCTGCAATGAATTATTCATCCAAGTATAAAGGGCAGATTGAAAGCCCTTGGCTTTTATGGTAGGGAAGGCAGTAGTTCCATTTCAGCTCAATGGAGCACTATGCAACCTCCATAAAACTACTCTGAGCTCTCAGTGTTTCCGCTGCTTCTCAGAGGTACTTGCATGGGATATATCACTGAAATACTCTTTTGTTCAA